TAAAGAGCATTCTGAAACCCACAAATGATAGAAATGGGGCAAACTTCCCACACAGAACCCCCATGGCCAACAGAAAATACTTAAGGCCATCCAGTCCAGTCTTCACCAGGACAAGAAAATGTAATCAGAGCCTTCCTGACAAAGAGCCATCCAGTCATAAATATAGATAGATAGATAGATATGATTCTCTCTCTCACACACACAGATATAGTATCATAGATTTGAAAGAGACCCTTAAAGAAGGACAATGATATGTTGCATATTCCAGAGTAGGCAAACCAGACACTCTCCCCATCAACACTGACAAAGAAACAACAAGAAATACTGTTTACCCACAAGCATAAAGGAATTACATATATTAGAAACCAACACTTTCTCATTACTTTATTTTCCAGATCACCAGACTGGGCCACAGCAACACGTGGCAGGGGACAGCTAGTGTTAAATAAAAGTATTTCATCAATAGGTAGGCAGGCATAGGTGCAGATACAAGCATGCCATCTTGCATACATTCTTCTAAAAATATACACACAGAAGACTGTAGAAATAGAATCTGACTATTTTTAACCAAATAGGCTATTTTAGCACTATGTTGTGGGATTTTTCCCCCTCTCCCAATGATATACTGTGGCTTCCTCCTAGGGAAAGTTTTGTTTTTATATTTAATACTGTGGGATTCTAGTTTGAATCATATGCTCAAACCGGGACCAATCCGACTATAAAAATAGATCATTAAAGGTTCAGGCCTTTTTGAAAAAAGATAAAAAAGGAAAGTGAATTATCCAGCGAGCTGGTTTTCTCTTTTACAAGGCGCCTATTTCAACCACAAAATGATTCCCAATGACATGACATATTTAAAAGACTTCTCAAATATGCTTTACAGCTGTGTTTGAGATAATTAAAGATTGGGCAAAATAAATGCTAATGATTTTTTAAAGTTTACAGTCCTGTCACAGACTTTTAAATATGATACCTAATTTAAAAGGGAGCCTTCCCTTATGTATCTGAGGGCGGCACGGTTGTCAGAAGCAAATGAGCGAGAGGAAAGAAGACTTTCCCTGCTGTTGGTAAGGGGCCAGAGTTGGAAAATATTGCTATTTAAACTTCAACTCCCAGAATCTCCTAGCCTGAGGATTCTGGGAGCTGTAGGCAAGGATTAGCCAACTTCAAGCTCTGTTAATGGCAAAGAATAAGGCCAATGCCACAAATTAACTCAGGAGTTTATCACACAAGGCAGCAAATCATGATTACAGAAGGACAGCAATGTCTTTTCATCAGACTTATCACACGATAAGTGAGATAAATAAGGTTGAACACTGTGAAAACCATCCACTACATGGCTACCAGACTCCTCCCAATAGACTCAAATCAAAGAAAAGCGTTATAAGAACTACCACTCCTCTTGGCATCCTCCCAGCAAAAACAAGGGTTTCCCTCTAGGCAGCTAAACCAACTGGAGGCCCCTCCACAAGGGTCTTCCTCCATGGGCAATCCAAGAATGCCGACTTGGCCACGGTGGTACACGCTCTGGTCACATCCCGCCTTGACTACTGCAACGCTCTCTACGTGGGGCTGCCCTTGAAGACGGCCCGGAAGCTTCAGCTGGTCCAGCGCACGGCAGCCATGTTACTAACTGGAGCGGGACGCAGGGAGCACCCAACGCCCTTGTTGTCTCAGCTCCACTGGCTGCCGATCTGCTACCGGGCCCAATTTAAGGTGCTGGTATTATCCTACAAAGCCCTAAACGGTTCCGGCCCAAAATACCTTTCGGACCGCATCTCGGCCTATGAGCCCACGAGGACCTTGAGATCATCTGGGGAGGCCCTTCTCTCGATCCCGCCTGCTTCACAGGCACGTCTGGCGGGGACGAGAGAGAGGGCCTTCTCGGTGGTGGCCCCCCGGCTGTGGAACACCCTCCCTGCTGACATCAGACAGGCGCCCTCCCTGATGTCCTTCCGAAGGGGCTTGAAGACATGGCTTTTCGAGAAGGCATTTAATTAAGTGCATTAATCGGTAACTGACGACGGGAACGGAATACGGACTACGGACTTGGCTATGATTCTAAGATGAGACGAAGCGGACCATTTAGTTGTAATTGTATTAGCTGTAATATTGTTATTGTTGTTCTTGCCTTTTGTAATTGCTTTTATATGTTGTACACCGCCGCGAGTCGCCCTAGGGCTGAGAGCGGCGGTCAATAAATGAAGTAAATAAATAAATAAATAAATAAGGTCTCTTCCAACTCTTCTAGGATTCTATGATTCTATGAGTGTGACCCCTTCCATCCAGCACAGGCTGAGACCCTATACCTTGTTCGGCTTTGCGACTGACCAGGAGGACCTCTGTCTTGTCTGGATTCAGCTTCAACCATGACCAGCTCAGCACAACATGCCCATCAATGCCCTTTTTATTTGGCCTGGCCGCCATACACATTTTTGTTATTTTATTCCATTTTCTGTATTTGGTTCTGTATTAACTTGTTTTGTTTGTACTTCATTTGGTGTTATTATTGGCTGTACGTATTTTATTTTGATTTGTTGTAATTGTTGGGCTTGGCCTCATGTTAGCCGCCCCGAGTCCCCGCTGGGGAGATAATAATAATAATTATAATTATTATTATTGGAAGGTTATTATTGAAAGTGGAAGGTAAAAGGAAGAGGGACTTGCAAACAGCTCAATCCTGAAAATGTAACTGTATCCAAAAGTCCAAGGCTCAGCCATCTCCCTGGGCATAGCCCGACCAATCAGCTTTGTGCATTTTATTTTACAGTTGACACACACACTGATTTCTTGCATGGTCCAAAATCTTTTGAGTCTTAGCCCAGTTAGAAGTTTTTTGGACATCGATTCTGGCTTCTTTGGATTAGTCTGATTTTTATTCTCTTTGTTGGCACTGTTTTGTGCTTTAGCCTTGTGAACCTACCTTTTCCCTACAGGAGTTGGCTATTTGTTTGAATTCTTCTTTGGTGATTTCTCCCTTTTTCCACTTCTTGTGCAGGTCTCTTTTGAGTCTTAGCCCAGTTAGAAGTTTTTTGGACATCCAATCTGGCTTCTTTGGATTAGTCTGATTTTTATTCTCTTTGTTGGCACTGTTTTGTGCTTTAGCCTTGTGAACCTACCTTTTCCCTACAGGAGTTGGCTATTTGTTTGAATTCTTCTTTGGTGATTTCTCCCTTTTTCCACTTCTTGTGCAGGTCTCTTTTGAGTCTTAGCCCAGTTAGAAGTTTTTTGGACATCCAATCTGGCTTCTTTGGATTAGTCTGATTTTTATTCTCTTTGTTGGCACTGTTTTGTGCTTTAGCCTTGTGAACCTACCTTTTCCCTACAGGAGTTGGCTATTTGTTTGAATTCTTCTTTGGTGATTTCTCCCTTTTTCCACTTCTTGTGCAGGTCTCTTTTGAGTCTTAGCCCAGTTAGAAGTTTTTTGGACATCCATTCTGGCTTCTTTGGATTTTAGTCTGATTTTTTTCTCTTTGTTGGCACTGTTTGCAATTGCGCCTTGAGTATTTCACTCTTGAAAAACTCCCATCCATTCTTAAGAGATTCTTAATAACCTCTTCAATTTCATTAGTGGTGATATTTTTATTCAATATTGATTGTGTCTGTGGGTCTAATTTCCTTGTAATTAGTCCCTTTAATCTTCCAATATCTTTATTTGTATACAGTTTTTCATAATAGCTTGTCATTAATTATTTTGAATAGGAGCCCCAATGGTGCAGTGTGTTAAACTCTTGTGCCGACAAGACTGAAGGTCACAGGTTCAAATCTGGGAGTGTGCAGATGAGCTCCCTCTGTCAGCTCCAGCTCCCCATGCGGGAATCATAGAATCCTAGACTTGGAAGAGAACTGGTGCCACATCACACTGTTGGCTCATGTTTAACTTGCTGTCCACGAGGACTCCAAGTTGGATGGATTGCAGCCATAAAGTAATTAGTTTATTTACATTCTATATACAAAGACAAACACAGCACAAAGCAAGCATGTCTGCACTCCGACAAAGACATCTCCGGGAGATGGCGATTGTAGTTTCTCTTATCAGTAAAGGCACGCCTCTCACATCCCATTCTGATGACCTAAAGTCCGGTCTCATCAGAGGAATCAGGAAAACATTTCATACTGTCCTTCTAGGATCACTTAAACCTCTGTGGTCTGTTAACTCTACACATGCTAGGCAGCTTTACAAACACATGATCATAGCTGTAAACACACACACTTTGACATCTCCCAATAAATCAAACATGGCTCAACACAATCTTTATCCAACTCCGTTCTTGTTTCAAAAACATAATGGCAACACTTACTTCAGACCGCACGCTAATACAAGGCTCCGTTCTTCGTGTCACTGCATGCGTGTGACGTAGGAAGGGCGAGTTTCTTTGCTCTGAGGTAAGGTAGGCATGTAACTAACGTGTGGTATACGCGACATTCTTTGGTGTCTCTTGCGTGGCATCTTTACAGTAGTTCCAACCCCTCGTAGATTGATTCCCTTCCTTTTGACAAATCAGTGATTGCCTTTGCTGGTATCTGTGTGCGCGCGTAAGACCCTGATGTCTGCATTTCTTGGTATTTCCATGTTCAACATGACCCATGAAGGGAAAGGGAAAATATTGGAGGTAAAGGTTTCCCACTTTCATCCTTTATCTTCTGCTTCTTTCTTGACCAGGGAAACGAGGATTCTGTGGAGCCTCCTCTTGGATGCTGTCAGGGAGCAAATAACACAGGAAGAACAAGTCCTCTCAAGGCGATGATCTTGCTGAATTCTTGACCTCACTTACAGATAAGAAAGGAAAATACGAAGAGTCAAGTGTCCGTATAACAATTACACACCCATATCGCTCTTGACATGGAGGAGGAAGCATCTAAATACATAGAGTGTGGGACGAGTTTCACTTGGAGGGATGATCTGCAGCAGCATGGAAGAACTTACACTGGAGAGAAACCCTATAAATGCCTGGAGTGTGGGAAGACCTTCGCTCAAAGTTCAGGTCTACATTCACATCAAAGGACTCACACTGGGGAGGAACCCTATACATGCCTCGAGTGTGGGAAGAGCTTTACTCATAGTTTATGTGTGCATCAAAGGACTCACACTGGGGAGAAACCCTATACATGCCCAGAGTGTGGACAGAACTTTGCTTATAGTTCAGATCTATATTCACATCAAAGGACTCACACTGGGGAAAAACCCTATACATGCCTGGAATGTGGACAGAACTTTGCTAAGAGTTCAAATCTACGTTTGCATCAAAGGACTCACACTGGGGAGAAACCTTATACATGCCTTGAGTGCGGAAAGAGCTTTGCTAACAGTTCAAATCTACGTTTGCATCAAAGGACACATACTGGGGAAAAACCCTATACATGCCTGGAGTGTGGGAAGAGCTTCATTCAGAGGGCAGCTCTGTATCCACATCAAAGGACTCACACTGGGGAGAAACCCTATACATGCTTTGAATGTGGGCAGAGCTTCTCTATGCGTGGAAATCTAGATACACATCAAAGGACTCACACTGGTGAGAAACCATATACATGCTTTGAATGTGGGCAGAGCTTCTCTAGGCGTGGAAACCTATGTTCACATCAAAGGACTCACACTGGGGAGAAACCTTATAAATGCCTCGAGTGTGGACAGAGTTTCACTTCTAGTTCAAGTCTACGTTCACATCTAAGGACTCACACTGGGGAGAAACCCTTTACATGCCTGGAGTGTGGACAGGTCTTCTCCAAGAGTCAAAATCTACGTTCACATCAAAGGACTCACACTGGGGAGAAACCCTATACATGCCTGGAGTGTGGGCAGAGTTTCACTCAGAATGGAAGTCTACAGAAGCATCAAAGGACTCATACAGGAGAGAAACCCTATACGTGCCTGGAGTGTGGAAAGTGCTTCACTCATAATTCAAGTCTACATTCACATCAACGCATTCACACTGGGGAAAAACCCTATACATGTCTGGAGTGTGGGAAGAGCTTCACTTATAATTCAGGCCTACGTTCACATGAAAGGACTCACACTGGGGAGAAACCCTATACATGTCTGGAGTGTGGAAAGAGTTTCTATAAGAGTGGAAATCTATGTTCGCATCAAAGGATTCACTCTGGGGAGAAACCCTTTAAATGCTTGGAGTGTGGACAGAGTTTCACTCAGAATGGAAGTCTACGTTCACATCAATGGACTCACGCTGGGGAGAAACCCTATAAATGCCTGGAGTGTGGACAGAGCTTCACTCAGAGTTCAAGTCTACGCTTACATCAGAAGACTCACACTGGGGAGAAACCCTATAAATGCCTAGACTGTGGACAGACCTTCACTCAGAGTTCAAGTCTATGTTCACATCAAAGGACTCACACTGGGGAGAGACCCTATAAATGCCTGGAGTGTGGACAGAGCTTCACTGAGAAAGGAAATCTACGTAGACATCAAAGGACTCACACTGGGGAGAAACCTTATAAATGCCTTGAGTGTGGACAGTGCTTCTCTCAGAATGTAAGTCTACATAGACATCAGGATTCACATAGACATCAGAAGAGTCACACTGGGGAATAACTCTGTAAACGCACGGAGCGTGGAAAGAACTTCTCTGAAAGTGGAAAACATTGGGGAGGACAGTGGTATTTCACCCCAGAGAGACTCTGTAACACAGCGTTCCAAACTTTTCAAGTCAGTGACACACTTTTAAGACATGCATCCCTTCGCAACTTAGTAATTCTGTTTATCTAGCAAACCAGAGGGTACAGAAATCCCTTATAAGATTTTCAGTATATACAATATAATGTCATACAATAA